CAGCGCAATGAACCCACATACTCTGCTTTCCTCCTCCCCTCCCCCCCCCGCCCCCCCCGCCCCGTGGCCGGCAAGCTGTCGCGGATCGAGGTCAGGATGTTCAAGTCCCGCTTGATGGTCATCAAGAGCTTCTGGTTCAGCGCCGAAGGGACCGCCGTGGCGACCGAGAGGTCCGCCCTCAGCAGCGCGTGCGTGTCGAAGTAATCTTTCGCGGCGATATGGCTGTCACCTGGCGGCGGGATCGCCGTGCGGACGCCGAAACCGACGGCAGTGGCGTCCGGCGAATCGGGGGGCACCTGCATAACCAAATACCAACCAGCTGGGGCGAACAACACCGAGTCCTTCTGCACGCGACCAACATGGAGAGTCAGGTCCGTGGATGCCCCGTCCTCGGTGGTCACCTGTTGCATGTACTTGAGCAGCGTGTTGGAAGTCACGCTCTCACGACTGATGTCGTACTTGTGTGCAGCCAGGGCCGTCAGGTGCGCAATCGGAGCCATGATGACCTTCATGGCAGTCCCCAAGTTGGCGCGAAGCTGCGCGACCCCCTGAGGCTCCTTGCCAGCGGACGGGAAGCCCGCAGTCATGCCATAGAGCCAACACGTGTTGAAGATCCTCTCGCACCCCGAAAGCTCCTTGACCTTATCAGAGGGCTTCACCGCCGTAATGAAAGCGGACGAGGCGTCGAGGATGCGTTGAGGCTTTGCGGTCTCTGGAACGGGAGACTGGATCTTGGTCACGCTCGAATTGATCATCTGCGGGAACTGCGCGCTGAACCTCGTCAAGACACCGTTGAGAATATCACCGTCTGCTCCCGTCCGAAGGCCTGAGATGGCATCTGAGCCCTGGACAATGAAGGGCAAGGCCGGGGAAAGGAGGTCCTTCCGAACAGCTTCTTGAAGACTCTGGCCGTCATAAGTTGTGATAGTGTTCACGCGGTCACTGCCGAGCGTCGCCTGGATGTTGAAGATCTGCACTGTACCAGTTGAGAGCTGCTTTTCCTCGGCCTCCATGTCCTTCAAGGCCTTCGCCTTGGTAGCAACGGCCAGTCTCTCCTTGTGCTTCTTATCCCTCTCGGCCTCTTTCTTCTTCGTCGACTCTCGCTCCTTCATGGCGGCTGTCAGGTCTGCGATGGCCCTTTTGAGGCCCCTCGACAACTGCGTCCAGCAAACTTGCACAGAAGACCAGTCCTCGACCACCCTGATAATCGCATCAATTTCAGTGCATCCTGGAAGCTCGTCGATCCGTTGACTGATGCTGATAAACGTCTTGCAACTCTTCTCGTTGTCGACTGGCTTCAAGGCGCCGAGCTGGGCGAACCTGTCTTTCAAGGCCGCGTCGTTCATCTCGGTGCGAGTCTGGATGTTCTCCACCGTGGCGTACTTCTCCTCGAAATCGCCATTCTGCCACGTGACGCCCAAAACCTCCGTGGTCAGCAGCAGCCGCGAGCTCAGGTTCTCCTCGAAGTGTTTGTCCGTGGTAGCATCGATCCGGGGGTCGCCCTTGAGCTCGAGCCCAGTTTTGATAGCCATTTTCATCTGGCCGGCCGCCGAGTTGAGCTCTCTGTGGCACTGAGTGTGCTTCCTGGCCCGCAAGCTCAAGGGATCCTGCTTCCTGTTCCCACTCTCGGCGAGATCAGGGCGGCTGCGGTCGAAGCCGCCGCCGCAGCCGCTGCCGCCGGGGGTCGATGGGGCGGATGCGGCGCTGGTGCTGAGGCCAAGGGTCGTCGGAGATCCAGCCGCCCTTCCTTGTTGCCTCCTGTGGGCGTCCTCGCTTGCCTTGCGGGCAAGCTCCATGGAGCCCGCGAGGTCCATCAATGGTTCAGCAGAAGATGTTGCGAAGTCAGCGCGGCGGGAAATCACGTCTGCCCCGAAACTCTTGGCCGTGCTGGAGCAAGGGCCATCCCCGAAGGATCCGTGGCCCTGTGCAGTCTCCTCAATCATTCTTTGGAAATGATCCTCCGACACCGTCTTCTGCTTCTTGGCGTTCACCGTGAGCTCCTGAGGGGAGCGCCGGCGCTGCCGCTTCCACTGCTGTCCGCCGCTCCCCCCCCCCCGATCCTCCGCCGCTACCTCCCCTGCCCCCCTCCTCTAGTCCTGCTCCTGCCCGCCCCCCATCCTTCCCCCGCTGCCGCCACTGCTTCCACTCCTTCCTCCACCCTCGCCCCCTCCTCCTGCCCCCTTCCACTCATCCTCCTCCGCCGCCGCCCCCACTTCGCATCCGCTGGGCCGCCGCCCCCCCCCCTCGGACCCTGCCGCACTGTTTGCATCTCATGTCCCACGTGTCCTTCTCTTCCCTGCGGGGCGTGCCGACATCCTTGAATTCCCCGACCAAGATGTCCATTCTCAACTCGTACCCTTGTTCCTGACCTTTGTTGTCTGAGTTGCTCGGGTTTTTCTTGGCCGCCAACCTCTTGCACTCGGATTCGCATCTCCCCGTGTCCCAGCCTCGGTCGCTCTTCTGGAAGCTGAAGTACTGCAGGAAGTCCATGCGGCGCACCCTGAGGCGGGCGCTCAGCTGAGGGAAGGGGCGGGAAGAGCCCCAAGAGGTCCACGCTCAGGGAAGGGCTGGGGAGATGACCCGACGATGTGCCGACAACATTCTCAAATACTAAGTGGGCCGAAGTTTCGAGACAGACACGGGCGAGGAGGGGTGGCCCAGGTGAGGGAAGAGGGAAGGGGGGAGAGGCATGGCGAGGAGTAGCAGAGGAGGCTGACGCGGATGCCTCTCGCCCCATGCCCATGCCCCTCAGAGCCTCAGAGCGAGGCGACAGGACTCAATATTACCAATGGCAGGCCCTTCCCCCCGTTTGAAGCCCTGGCGTTCCGTGCAAAGTCATTGCCGTAGGTAGCGGAGATATGTTTCTGGCAGAAGCCGACATGATCGTAGGTTCCTCTCTTTTTACCAGGACCACGACTGGGGTTGGACAACTCATACTCGCGAATCCCACCAGCCCTTCAGGGCGTAGGTGGTTTAGAGGGATTCCTCTTCCATCTCCCCTCTTCCCTCTTCCCCTTCGGGGAGAGGTTCACCCCTCCCCCTAACCCCCTCCTCTGGACCTGGACGGGGGGGTGGTGGGTCGCCGGTGCGTCCAAGATGGCCCAAGACGGCTCCAAGGGGGCCTCGGAGAGCCCAAGATGGCCAACAAGATGGCTCAAGATATCCCAAGATGCCTCAAGATTCAAGATGGCTCCCAATATGCTCCAAGGGGCCCCAAGACCGCTCCAAGACGGCTCCAAGCGGCCACAGGGCCTCCCAAGGAGGCCCCCCCAAGAGGCCAAAATGGCTCCACAACCTTAAAATCAATCGCCTTCGATGGGCTCTTGAGCCCTCAAGATGGCCCCAAGATTGGATTGGCCTTGGATTAGAACGGCAACAGCTCGTCTAGCACCTTTGCGTCGCCCCAAGAGGAGGCCCCAAGGGGAGCCCAAGACGGCCCGAGCGCCCAATAGCGGCCCAAGAGCGCTCCAAGAGGGGTCCAAGAGGCGATGTTTGTGGCTCCTGAGGGGGGGGGGGGGCTAATTGAAGCCCCCCCCTCCTTTGATCGATCTCCTCAAAGATGGCCCCAAGAGCGCCCCCAAGGCCCCCACTAGCGTTCCAAGAGGGCTCCAAGTTGGCGCACAGGAGGCCCCACGAGGCGCCCAAGACGACTCCAAGAGGCTCCCAAGAGACCCCCAAGAGGCCCCAAGAGGCTCCCTGAGGGACCCAAGACGCTCCAAGAGGCCTCCAGGACCGCCATGAGGCCCCCAAGACGCCCCAAGAGGCGTCCATGAATTTACCCAAACGCATATGAAAAAACTGCGAGAGGCATCCAGGAGGCCTCTGGTAATTTTGCTCGCTAGCTTCCCGCTCCTCTTCTGTCTACTCATCCTCCTCCTCCGCCTCTCCTCCTCCTCCTCCTCCTCTTCCTCGTTTCTGGATGGGCTGGCGGGGATGCACGAAGCCGCGAAGCGTCGAGAATCTTGATCGCAGCAAGCCGATCATCTTTCATCGCATCCTTATGCGCTTTTCTATCGGCATCGGTTTTGCAGGAGGAGGCAATCGACCGCTCTGTTGTGCAGTGCTTGCTACAGAAGCGAGTTTTCCCATTCTTCCGGGGCTCAGGGCACGCGATGCAAGTGGAGCTGCAGTCGGGCGCCTCGGCGCCCACATCAACACCCGGCAGCGGCTTCCCAGGTCCATCCCCGTCCAAGGCCAAGTCGAACTCCTGTAGCATGTCGGCCATCGCTGAGAGACACCACCCAGATAGATAAAGCTCTGGCGGGGGGCGGACACGCTCGCGCAGGGCACCCAAACAGAGGCAGTGGCTGCAGCGTGTTTTCCAATGTAGGTGTGCTGCGCCCAACGCCCCTTCTAATGAAGCCCGCTCCCCCTCCTCGTCACCCATTTCCGCCACCTCGTCTCCATGCCCTCCCTCTCATCCGCATCCTCATGCACCTTCTCCCCATCGTCGCCCTCCTCGCATCCATGCCCCATCCATACCCTCCTGAAGCCCGAGCGTGGGCCCCGCCCTGGCAAGGCGCCGCGGCCGACTGCGAACGCGCGATGCCCTTCGAGGCCGAGCAGGCCCCGCCAGGGCCGCTGGGGGAAGCGGGTGGGGGGCGCAAGACCGGCAGAGGAGGGGCAAATAAGACAAGGACGCAAGGGCGCTCTGAGAAAATCACTCCGTCATCGATGGCATCGATGGTGCAGGGCGAGGACGAGGAGGGGTAGGGGGAGGAGGAGAAGGAGGAGGAGGAGGAGGGGGAGGAGGAGGAGGTGGAGTCGGAGGAGGAGGGTGGAACAGGCCTGCCTTTCTTACCTCCGCTGCTTCAGCCTGGGAACGTCAAGAACGCCACCTAGATAGTCTTGGAGCCTGCCGTCGCCAAGATCGGGCCAGACGCCAGAGCCATGGGCGCTGCCCATCAACTACGCGGCAAACCGTTTCCAACCAGATCCTGCTCGGGCACCCCTCAGGCCCCAAATAATTACAGCGTGCAGCGCGCAAAATAGAACATGCTGTCTCAGGCTGTCTCTGACAAGGGCCTCGAGTCGACCAACGAGGCACCCGACTGATTCAGAAGGCACGGCCAGCATGTGTGGTAACGGCCCTCACGAAGGATCTGGCAGCCTGCTGGGCACGCCATGCTAACGTATCGGCCAGCCTGCCCGTCGACCCCAACTACCAAACGCAAATGGGACGTGGGTGATATGCGAACGAAGCCCCTGGCGGCGCATCCGGGCGCACAGCCGAGCCACCCCCCCTCCTCTGGTTCATCCAAACCCCTGCCCCTGCTGCTGAGCATATGGCGCGGCCGTGCCACTGTGCAAACAAAAAAAGTTGCCCTCCACCCTCGATCTCGAATCAGATGATGTCCGAGCACTGCAGGTCCACGCCCACATCCTCGTCGGAGCCCGAGTCGATCGTGACGCAGGAAGCCTGGACAATGCCCATGGGCAACGCACATGAGGCTGGATTTGAAAGAACACACGAAAGCACGCGCATACCCCTTCCCCTCCCCGACCAAAAGCAGGGCCGGCAGGGCCGTCCCTGACAGCAGCCCCCCCCCCTGCTGCGCTCACTCACTGTGGGCACCTGGTGAGCCTAGTGTCGCGCACACAGTTGCCCCCTGCCCTACTGACCTCCTTCCTACATCCCTCTCCTTGCCCGATGCGTCGTTGCTGCCTCAGGTCAGCCCCGTGATGCGTGCAACGTGTGGGCCTGTATGAAGTTGACGCTCTCATTGCGCCGACCCCCGCCGCCAGGGCCGAACGCGTCGCTCGAGCTGATCGCTTCGATGCCCGCTTCGTCGAATGCTCGATCCCAGCTGAAGCCTTCGATCTGTGCGTCCAGCCTCTCCAGCCTGCTACGCAGATACTCCATCTCCGTTGCCTGGCGCGAGAGCGGATGTGATCTGGCGAACAAGTTGAAGGAGGTGGAGGCGGAGAACGAAGGCCTCAAGGGTTGGAGGAAGGAAGAGAGGGAGTTCATCTTACCCCGACTTCCACATACCCCATCCTACCTTCCACGTTGCCCTTCCCCTCCTCCCCCTGCTTTCGGCCTCGGCGTCCTGCAAGCCCAAACCCAAGTCAGTCATGCTGAAGATGTCGCGCTCAGGACTAATCACGACGTCGGACTTTAACATCATGTTGGACATGCAGTACATAACCCACGCACCCATGATTGCCAGGTGCTGCCCATTACCAAGGGGCCTCTGTACATCGTCATCCGCCATGTGGTCAAGCTTGTGAAGATGAGGAATGGTCGACTTAGAACGACCGACAAAGGGGCCACATGCCAAAGACGGGATGCCCATCATGAGACAGCACTCCTTGGCCGTAGCTGGCCGTTGGTGTTTGAACGACCAGACCGTCGCATGCTTGGTGGGGGAGCCAACGATCGGCCCTGTCATGGTGAACTTGGGCCACTGGTCGAGGTCCCCCATAAACGTTCCTAGGTCGTCTCTACATTCGCGCATCGCGCCCAGTGGTGCTAGACTCCCCCCAACATGTTTCTAACGCAATAAAAACATGTTGGCGCATTGACACGTCTCCCTCGTCTGCGCCGTCGGCTACGCCGTAGTTTGAATTGGTTATCTTCGCGCCGAGCCGCACGGAGCGCGATTATCTTCGCGACCCCAGGTCCCTAGAAGTTCGTGCAGGAATGCGCCAACGTGCCCCTCCTCCTCGGCCATCTCATCCTCCTCCTCCTCCTCCTTCTTCGCCTCCCTCATCCTCTCTCTCTCTCTCTCTCTCTCTCTCTCTCTCTCTTTCTCTTCCTCTCTGTATGTTTGTTTCTCTCTCTCTCTCACTCTCTCCCTCTCTCTCTCATTTCAAGCCCAGTCTCAAGTCTCGAACAATCCTGATAAACCCTCGCGGCCGCACTTCGTGGCCTCCCGTGCGGTCAGCCGGGAGCGCTGCCCCGGCGTCAGCACGGCCTTCCAGTCGAAGTTCTTCAGGTCCACGTCGTCTTTGACGAAGTTCCCACGGCGAGCCAGCCGCTCTCGAAGCATACTCAGCACCCCGCTCTCGGAGTCTATGAAGAAGGTGTCGCTGTCGCAATTGGGAATCAGGCAGCCGAACAGGGAGTCGAACTCGGCCTGGACATCATCAATAGACTGCGGCCCGCACCACACCGCCGTCCTGGTGCTCAAGCCGAAGGTCAAGCACCGATCCCTGGACAAACCCCAGCCACTGTTCAACGGATTCGCCTTGATGGTGAAGATGCGGTGTGAGTCGTGCAGCTTGGCGAACTTCCGCCAGTATGGAAACGAAGCAGAGTTCTCGTGGAAAAAACCATCCTCAGCGTACTGTTCAGCAAGCGCCAGGCGCTCTACCAGCCAGATATTGTACGTGCGGCAGCTTGGGTGGCCGTCTCCTGCATGCCCCCCCCTGGGGCTAAAGCCCGCGCAGTCAGTCCCAGCAGCGTTGATAAGTAGAGGGCGAGGAGAAGGATAGCTGGGCGCAGTGTAGGACTGGCATGGGCGCATGTCCGAAAACGTGTTCTCCGAAATCCGTTTC